CTCTCTCTCTCTCTCTCTCTCTCTCTCTCTCTCTCTCTCTCTCTCTCTCTCTCTCTCTCTCTCTCTCTCTCTCTCTCTCTCTCTCTCTGTCTGTGAGAAAGAAACCGGCCATAATGAATGATGCAGCCATACAGAGGAAACAACTGAGGAGCCATGCACCACAGAGTGGAAGAGGAAGAAAGAACAAGGGTAAGACAGCAAATACAACAGCAGGAAGGACTTGAGGGGAAGCATGGTGAGAGGATGGAAAGGGGATCAAGGACAGGCATGGGAGACGGCAAGAAAAAGTAAAGGAGTGGAGGGCTGGTTCCAAAGGCATCCGGATTGATTACGAAGGACTGGTGACAAGGGATTCATTTTCATATATCAGCCTTGTTGGGCGTAGTAGGAATAGTGCTCTTGGCCTTGAGATCTACCTCCGGGCTTTTGGTGAGACAATATTGATTTACGCAAGTCAGTCTTATGCAAGAGCCACGCTAATCTTCTAGGCATCGTTCCAATTTTATCAGATGGCCCAAAGGACATGGTGAGGCAATATAAGAAACTGTCAGATCATCAAGAACAAGAACGCAAAACACAAACAAAAGAAAATTGGGTTATATAGAGCATACTGAGGGAAAGGGGGAAAAAAAGCTGAGTGCATGAACCCTTGAACCCTGATGAAGGAGGGACCCGGGGAGTCGAGCATTGAGTAAGGGGAATACGGGTATGGAATTCCATTCAGAAAAGAAGTCGAGCGGAGTCGTGAAGCTTGAAAAAGGAGAGGGAAAGGGAACAGCTAGAAGAGGCGTATGGTTCATAACGATTGTCAAAAGGAGAGGGAAAGGGAATGGCTAGAAAAGGCGTATAGTTCATATTAACTTGATAACGATTGTCAGATTTCCAGACAAAAGTCGTTGCCAGGCAACGTAAGCAAGACCGGCATGAGTTGCATGCATTATCTTTTTTTTTTGCATGCATTTGTTTGTACGTACGTACACCCAAGACTTCGTTATTACTATTTTTTGCATGCATGTATTTGTATGTACGTACACCAAGACTGTGTTGTTATTTATTTAACGACTTCTTGAAACTTGGAACTTCCTTGTGAACACATTAACGACTTTTTCTTCATTCAACTTCCATGGAATACAAGCGATGCAGCAGGGACAAAAGTGCGCACAACAAGTGTGCCAATACAGAGACGCGCAAAGCCACAGGCTTCCAGACACACTACCAAAAACAAAATAACGAGCAGGGAAAAACACAAAGGCTCGTTAAATTCAGGCCAAAAACAAACGAGGAAAGAAATCATGAAACAAACCTCAGGGCAATGTTTGGAGATGGCTTCGCAAAGATTCTTAACGATGCCGGCATTAATTTTGAACAAGTCATCACGTGTCATGCCTGGCTTACGGGGGACGCCAGCAGGGATGATGACTACATCACACCCACTAAGGGCATCACCCAACTGCTCCTCGCCGACATATCCTTGGAC